TCGATCTGCCTGTTCTGTTCCCCACTCTGTCTCTGGTGAATCCTCCCACACTCCGCATCTCTGGCTCTCTGGCCTGTACCCCAGTTCTGTACAAATAAATAAATAAATTTAAAAAAAAAGAAAACATTACATGAAGTGAATCGCCACCCCCTTCCAACATAACCCCCTTGACCAGGAACTCACTGCCAGCAGCGTTCTGAGATTCCTCTCAGATGCCACCATCCAGGTGAGCAATTTATCACGAGCTTGAGGAGACCCACCCTTTCTCTTTCGCCTCATTTAGAGCAAACCATGACTAAGGGTGTAGACGGGTTACTAAAACACTCAAGTGCTTGCTTACATTGCTTTTAAAAATCTTCAGAAATTCAACCAGCGCTTGACGGATGCTTCAATCATCCTGAATTGTTGAAGATGCTGAGATCAGAGTTCAACATGCAATGCAGTTCCTGGGTCTCTCAGAACTTACTGCTAACTAGCAGATTTTTTTTTTTAAAAAAGGTACAAATAAATGACTGACATAATTTCAATAGTGCTAAGTATAACGAATTTAATATCCTAAAAAAAAAAGGTGACAGGCACTGTGGGGTGTTCACACAAGTCCTTTGTGAGGCAGTGACATCGTGGTAATAGCTAATAGACATGAGGACATTGTGGGGAAAAATCCGTCTAGGCTGAGGAACAGCAAGTGCAGAAGTCTGAGGTGAAACAGAGGGAGGAAGGCCCGCGGGAAGGGCTGAGTGGCACAACAGTCCAGGGAGAGTCAGGTGGCGTCTCCGGGCCTGAGGGGACGGAAGGGAAACCCCTTCCGGTGTGACTGTGAGGGCGATGGAAAGTCTCGGGAAAAGGCGTCCAGAGGTGAAGCCTCTGGGACTCATGGCTAACAGGCCATTCCCGATCCAATGTCCCTGGCTTCCCACCTCCGATCTGGAGTTCACGGTAGCCACACTGGATGCTATATGGCGTCTGCCTGCCTGCGCCGGTCTTTGTGTGTCCCTGAAACCTGCACTTCTGACATAAAAAGCCTTCAGCTCTCCAATTAAAATGAGACTACTCTTGTGGAGGAGGTGTAGTGAACAAATCCATCTTTGACAGTTTTAATGGTGTTTTTGATTAAAATAATATTTCTGAAGAATGTTTGTGGCTCTGATGAAAATCTTATTGGAGCGGAAGTGTCTGTGACATTTTTCATCACAAAGCACGCATATACATATGCTAATATAAATAAGTGAAAGAAAATGAGACTCTAAGTTCATCACAGACGGAGTATTATGAGAGTTTCGTTTGTAAGTTGTCTATAATAACACAGCGGACCTCCCAAACAGAGTGTCACATGTGGGCTCCCGGCAAATTATCACTTTTGCTTTCTGCTTTTTATTCAAGAGGAAACTCAGAGATTCAAGAAATGAGGCTGTGGGAGGCTGCAGGTGAATTCACCCAGAGAAATGTCTGACTTCATCCATGTTGTATTAAAAAATTTACTTCGGTATTAGAAGTTTCACTGAAACGTATTTCTGGTGTCTCTTGAAAAAGTGGGTACACGAGAACGTGCGGACAGTCACACACATTCCTGCCACACACGTGGAACCTGGAGGTAAAGAGCTGACAAGCTGGAGAAGTCAGAAGGGAATAAGTAGAGCCCGCAGACCTGCCTCTTGCAAGGCTGTGAGCGAACCAACCAGAACTGTAGTCATCACAGTTCTTAAGAAAAAGGAAAGAAGAGGCGGGAACCCTTATAGTGCCTGCTGCCTGGATAGGGGGTCTGTGGACGACGCCGGATTTCTCAGAACAAAAGAACCCCCACGATGAGGTTCCCTTGACCCATGGGTCAAGCACACGCCACACCATTCATCTCGGTCCCAGAAGGAGCAGCCTCTCCCAGCCCCTGAGATTTCATCTCAGTTGTTCACATCTTGCAAGCGTGAAGCGCATGAAATGCTCCACTCCACCTGGTCCCCCAACTTGGAATTCCTGAATGAAAATGGTGAGCTCGTGTTTAACAAGAAGGTCAGAAATATCTAAAGTCACTGGAGTCTTAATACTGCTGCAATTACAGCTAATCACACTCACAGCCATTGCCAACAGCTCGGGTGCTGGGGGCGCCTCACAGGAGAGGCAGGAAAAAAATGAATTGTTTTGTGAGCGCATTCTTCATATATTTATTTTCCAACTTTTTGCGTGAGAAGACCTTAGCCGCAGAGAGGAGGTTACCTAGTTTCAAATCCTACACTCAAATTCTTTTTTTAAAAAAAGATTTTATTTATTTATTGATGAATACAAGAACTGGGGTCCGAGCCAGTGTGGGGGTGGTAAGAGGATTCACCCCTCGGGCTGCCGGGAGGCACAACAAGCCAGTCTTCCTCTCTTTGGGAAATTCCTGTATTGATATTCGAAGAAATTCTGAAATCTGGCCACGGTGCACCTCTTAGGAGCCCAATCTTTTATTATCAAGATTCATAAATTGCGCAGCATTTAGATAAAAAAAAAATGCATTGCTCAGAGGTACCAAGGCTTTGTATATGCCCCCAAGAGATCAATACGGAGCTCATCCTGGCTCCGAGGCTTACTGTAGGTAACTCCTGGGCTCTAAGACTTAACAGCGCACCTGATGACTCCCACAGATGAGAGAGAACGTGCTTTCCCACCACGCCCCCCCCCCCACGGCTTTCCCCGGGAGTTCCCAGGGCGGCGGGCGGTGTTTTGAGTTCCGTTGTTTTTTTCTTCAGGGCCCTTTTTTTTCCTTTCAGGGGGGGTTTTTGGGGGCCTTTTGTTTTTCCAGGCGGTTGGGGGGAAAACGGGGAGGGTTGGGCCCGGGCCCGTTCCCGCTCTTCTCCCAGTCTTGCCTCAGACTTCCGCGCCCCTTCTGTAGTCAGACGCGTGTCTAAAACGCGGCACAGTTAGTGTCTCGAAGCTAAGAAGACTGCTGGGCCCGGGGCTTCCCATCACCCCATAAACCAGACTGTTAGCACGGCATAAAGCCAACGTCACCGCTCTTGGGGAACGCACAAACGAAAGGCCACGCTCTTTCCCTCACCCAGCCAAACTCTGAGCGAGGGGCGACTGGTTTCCCACAGACATGGCAGGGACCAGTAGGCCCAGCCCAGGTGAGGGCAGGAATTGTCCTGAGGGAGAATAAGCCAGGAGGATGTGCTATCATGGAAATAGGCGCCATCGCTTGTAAGCAGGAAAGGTACTGTCCAGAGAAGGCAGCAGTCGGGGCCTTGGAGGCTTGAGGGCCGGTCGGTCCTGTGCTCTGACGCATTTTCACAAAGAAATGAAACGCACAGCCACCCAGTTAATGAGGACTGCGGAGCGCCCACGGGCAGCAGGGCAGGCTTGCCTGACGCAGATGTCCCCAGTGAGCTCACCCACACTTCCAGTCACTGCCTATTCCTGCGACAGGCATCTTCACACACAGCTGCTATTTTTGGTGAGGAAATCTCACTACTACTTAGAGGGCTGCTAGTCGGGATTAAATTGAGTCATCAAAGGTAATGAAATCGATGAATGTGTGGAACTTCCTCCTCCTTTCCAATCACCTTTATGCCAGCTTCTGCCCCTTGTGTGTTCGTGTTCCCCCACATGCTAAGCGCCAGACGAGGGGCTGTGTTGCACTGGGCCCTGCTTCACCGGCCGAGCGTTAGGCCCACTGAGATCCAACTTTTACTCCGAGGGCCTTCGTTGGCGGTGTAGGCACGCTCTTGACGCTAGGGCTTGGAGCCACAACCAATAATAGGAACTACATCTATTAAATCAGTTACTTTAAGCATTTAGGAAGTAGAGAGTAGAGATATTTTGTTCTGGGAAAAAGTATTATTTACCCCTGAGCTACAGCAATGGAGTCTTACCTTATGATAACACCTAAAATACGCAGCACGTTCATCGGAAAATTTCTCCAGTCTTTTTGGACCCTTGCTTGAAGCCTTCTTGAATACTAACCAGCATCGTTGATAAATCTGGAAAGAAGGACAAAGACTGAGCTCAGCAGCACCACAAGCTCAGATATCACTCACACTTGCATTTACACATTTTCTCCTTGATGTTCTCACCTGTAAAATATTCATAAGTCACACATGTGATGATGCTTTGGGGAAATAAAATTTTAAAACCCCAGCTTGGTTCCACAATAAGAATGTTATGTCATTTAGTCAATGACTGAATTCTAAAGAAAATGAGTATTTGTAGGCAAATTTCAAGTTTTGCTAACAGAACACATGCTAGAGATAAAAATTCCAGATCAGGCCCTCCCTGGTGGCGCAGCGGGTTAAAGCACTGCACTGAGAAGCTAAAGCCGCTTCCGCATGAGTTCGATTCCCGCCTGCCCCGGAGGTGACCACATGGTGTGGTCATGGAAAGAGACAGCCCCCATCCCATACTGCATAACTGATGGTCAGGAACTGCACAGGCCCTCCCTGGTGGCGCAAGGGTTAAGTCTGAACATTCTCAAGTTATCCTCAGCCACTGAAGCATGAGTTTGCTCCCTGGCCAGGGAGGTGACCCACATGGCGCCGCAGACCTCTCCTGTCTCCCTGCTGCTCCCCTCAGCAGGGGATTTCAGTAGATCTGCCTGTTCTGCTCCCCACTCTGTCTCTGGTAGATCCTCTCATCTCCCCTGCACCTCTGGCCAGTACCCCAGCTCTTGCATGCATAAATAAATAAATCTTTGAAAAAAAAAAGAAGCAGCAGAGCTGGACCAGATACTAGACTAGCTAATAATTGGCTGATCAATGCCCACTAGATTCTCCCTTAGAAAATTCAGTCCAAGGATTCCAAGATTATTGCCAGCCCTGAACTGTGGTCAGTGACCCCATGGAATCATGTGCACAATAGTTAAATGGTAGACACAGGTGTAGACGTATAGACAATTGGTGTCTACTTTAGGTAGATGAGATTTGTTTTGTTTTTATACAGAAGATCTGGGAAGTAGGCCAGAGGTATGGAGGTGAGAACTCAGTCCTCAGGGGTGATAGTGCTGAGATTTAATCCCTAGGCCACCAGGGAGACCCCTTAAAAGAGGTATTTTTAGTTCTTGGTCACCTCTCAACTCCTGACTCCCTGATCTAGCCCTTTCTCTGGTTCACCTTGGAGTCACCTGTATTCCGAGAAACTCACCACCGCCATCTCTGTAGCTTTTCACTGAGCTAGCCCGAGTGGGGTTCTGATCCCCACCACCCAGGCTTCGCTGATAGGAGCAATCAAAACACATTAAGCTAGACACGAACAGACGCTATCAGTGATAACACCAAAGATAGAAAAATGCAAAGCATACAACACATGCTTTGCAATATAAAATATTTTAGCCTAAAAGTTAATAAGTACTTCAACATATGATCATACTCATGGATAGCAAAGATCCTCTCTTCAGGCCAATTAACAACAGATATGAAGAATCTTAACAGAACAGGAATCCACCGAGGAAAAATAAAAGCCCCCAATGTAGCCAATCCTACAATTGGCTGGAGACTTATCATATTGACTAAGACAATAATAACAACAATACCAACAAGCTCTGACCAGTGTACACAGAATGATTAATGCGTTGTCAATAAGAATATAAATCAAATGGCTCACAAAAGCCATCAGTGCTCTCTGCAGCTTTGTTTGTGTCAGCACTAACTGGAAAGAGCCTCATACTTTCTGCGGTGATTCCTGGGTGAACAGCTAAACAGATCACGATACATCCCACCACAGAACAGACAATAGCAGTTAGCAGTAAAAACAAAGGAACGATTGATACTGCGATGTTTTGATTAATCTCCAGAGATTATGCGAAATGAGGATAAAGCCAACCCCCAAAGTAACATACTCTATGGCTGCAGTGATAGCATCCATGAAATGGCAAAACGATAGAATCGGAAGCCAGGTCTGTGGTTTTCAGGGGTGAGGCAGAGTGGAAGGGAGGACGGTGCTATGGAGGGGAGGGGCCGTACTGGGTCCTCGTGTACTGATCCAATGTCTTACGACATCACACGGTCATGTTGCCATTGGGGAAATGGACAAAGGGCACATGGCCTCAGTGTGACATTTCTTACAATTACCTCAGAATAAATGTTCCAATTTTTATTTATTTATTTATTTATGCTTATAGAGCTGGGGTACAGGCCAGAGGTATGGTGGGTGAAAGGATTCACCAGAGACAGGGTGGGAAACAGAACAGGCAGATCTACTGAAATACACTGCTGAGGGGAGCAGCGGGCGGGTCAGGAGCGGTCTGCCACGCCATGTGGGTCAGCTCCCTGGCAGGGGATCGAATTTATGCTGCAGTGGCTTTGGTGAGCTTCATAATGTGTTGCTTTGATCGCTGCACCGCCAGGGAGGGCCCAAAATGTTCCAGTTTTCAATGGGAAAATGTAGAGATACTGATCAGCATCTTAGAATGACAGCCACATCCAGCCCGCCCAGCCCTGCATCTATGTCAGCAGAACCCAGACCCCTCCACTGCGAAAGGGAGAAGTGTCTGACGGGCAGAGCCAGCGGTAAAAGCTCGGACACAAAATGCTTTCAGGTTGAAGAATCAACCATGAAAATTAACATTCTCAACAATATGGCTGGCAAGTAAAAGTCTTCTCGACATCTCACTTATGTCTGAATAACAGATGAGACAACAGACTTCCTTAAAGCTTGACCGCTACCCGGGACTGTAATTACAGCGAGCGTGATTGTCACTGTGATTGTTCAAAGAAAAGGGCTTTGGAAACAGGCTTCTTACTGGCATGCTATTCCTGGCAAGCCCCTTTCTTCTGTTCATTCCCCTGAAATGACGGCAGAAATTGAGCAAGCTACAGAGACACAAGAAATCTGTGCACGGTGGGGAAAAAATTATTTTCATTAAGGAAGTAAATCAGAAAATGAATTTTCTAATTATGCTTCACCTTCGAGACCTGGTCTTGAATGATAGCATCTCCAGTTCATTTTCACAATCAAACCAGTGTTTTTCTGGCTGATGGTCAGGGGATACTGAATGCCAGCTAAAGAAAGATTCTTCAATTTCAGCACATCTGATGATTTCCATCTCTTACGCCGATCCATTGGTAGTAAGTCTAGGAGAGACAGTTATGTCTCTGGTTTTGTCTTTATTTGGTTGGAGGAAGTAATAAGGGCAACAATGTGACATTATAACCAAGTATCTGCAAAAATACCAACATGCAAATTCACTCCCCACAAGGCTTATAGCGACTGGCTGGGGATCGCAGCGAACAGATTAAGCTGGGGATCGCAGCGAACAGATTAAAACATGTAGGTCTATCCCAAGACAAGGAAAACCAAATCTGGTTTCTGCAAAGAGACTGTTCGTGACATACAAAGGCACAGTAAAACCAGCAGAAGGGCCAAAGTCGAGAGTGATACGTGTGATACCCACGTCATACAATGTGAATCCCAGAGTTGGCCCATCACCCCCCCCACGCCCCTTGTTATGGAAGCAGATGCCCAGAGATCAGCCAAGGTCCCCTTCACCGGAGCCTGGGGAGGAGGCCAGTGCATTCTGCTCTTTTACACCTTCCCAGGTGTTTTGCTTGCCATTTGCAAAGCCATTCGTGGCCACTGATAGAGAGTTTCGATAACACAGTGTTTCCCTTGAGGATTCCAAGAGCTCTCCACGTGCTGGACACGACAGGGCCTCTGGGATGGGTGTTCCCAGCACCCAGCATGTGCAACTCAGTGGCACTGCTGGAAGCTGACTGGATTTGGGCGACACGTAAGATGAAACTCCAATCTGCTGAGCTGGAGTAAACGCCCACCTACCTCACAGTCTGTGTCCTGGGAACACTCGAGGCACCAGCGAATGCCAGAGCATTAAAAACTTATCCTAAATTATCTCAGGACAAGAAATGAGTGAGGAGAGCCAGGAGCAGAGAAACGATGCAGACCAGCTGGGTCAGGACTGACATGGCTAAAAGGGTGATTTTAACACATGTGTTGTCTATAATATTTTTCGTTGGCACTTTCCTTTGACTTCTTTTAACAAACCCTGTTTTACTTAAGACACTGCTCACTGGCCCAAGTGGCACTGGGCAGAGAGGGGCGGTAGCTCGTGAGTGGAAACCCAGCAAGTCTGCTGTGAGAGATGCTCCCTGGTGTTGGCTCTGCTTGTCCTCTGTGCCTGCAGAATGTCAGGCCCTTCCAGGACATGAACTCAGGGAGCCCCCCGCACCCCTCTCTGAAGCCAGTGCTGTCCATCCCCACTCTGCTCAGGAGCCAGAGTGGTTCCTTCCTGAGCATTCCTCCGGGACAAGCCAGTCTTCCAGCCTCGGTTTGCCTGACTCCGGAGAACCAGCTCTGACCCCAGAACTCCCCAGAAAGGCTGGACTCCTATGGAGACACAGAATTCTGCTGAGGGCAAGCCTCCGCAGGAAGCTGAAGCTCACCTTATCATACCCCCAGAAAGGGACGCTAAGTTGTAAGCATCTGTGCTTTCAGCTGGACAGCTACTTCATAGCCTATTTCAGGGGACATTTGCATGTGTGATTTTAAATTCCCTGCTGCCAAGTATTCCCCGTCCGTGGTGGTTTCTAGTGGAGCATTTCCACACCCACAGTCCTGGGCTCCAAGGTATCCAAGCTATCTGCAAGAGGCATTTACTTTCAGGAGCCCACCCTCTCTCCTTCAGCAACACAGCCCTCAGCATCCTTGACAGAAGTCCAGAGGCCCAAACATGCTAAGTCTCCTGGCAACAAAGAAAGTGGCTCATGCAACTTCTCAGATTTTTCTAGCTCCCCTTGTCTGTGTAACCTTCAGCGTCTGGTTCTTAGCTTTGGCTACGGTGACTGACATCCAGGCTAAATGACGCCCTGCTGGTCTGGGTAGTTGGCTACGTGGGCTGACCGGTGACTTCTCCAATTGGCCAGCTCTCCACCTGGGCCATGATCCATAGCCAGAGTAGCCAGCTGCCCTCCCCACGTGTTGGCTCCTCGTTACCTTGAGGCTGATGAAATGTGACAGTCCAAGAATCTTCCAG